GCCGGTGAATAAGCAGGGGGGGGGGTGCTGGAGAGGAGGACCACTAATATATATACATTTTGGGGGGGGGGCGCTAGAATCGGCCCATGGATCCGCGTCTGCCATACGGACTCCCGCACTTTCTCTTGCCCTCCCTCCTCTCCCATCTCTCCCTCTCTCTATATCTCTATATTAAACTAACACACACACTACACACACACATGCACAGAGAGAGAGAGAGAGAGTGGCACACACACACACACACACATACATACCACACCCACGAACAAAACACATTCACGGTCACCCTTACCATGGACATACATATTTTCGAACTTTATCTTCCCCATGTCCAAAATCGCAACCACTAGCGACATTATTTTCTTGCGATTTTCATTTCCCCTTTTCCACTCCTTCTTTACATAAAAGAGGAGAATTTTTTATTTTTTTAAAAGTAATTTTAATGGAGATATTCGAAGGCTTAACACTCTTTCTGAGAGATCGCCATCACACTTTTTACTTTTTCCCCCCCTGGTGATTTTTTTGTGTCCTTGCCCTACCCAGCTCATAACACTGCTCTCTCTCTCTCTCTCTCTCTCTCTTCGTCTTTATCTCCCTCTTTGTCTCTAAATTTCTATCCTGACTATTTTTTTAAAAACTGTACTAAGTTGTCATTAACATTTCTCTGAAAAAAAGTATAAATCTTGGTGTAGATAAACAGATTACACAATCATTTTTTCCAACAACTAATAAACACTTGTTATGTCAGTTATATCATGCATGCGTTTCCATAATACAATTCATCACAAACTGCACAAATACAAAAAGTATGATAAAGATACTACCACAAAGATGTTGGTTGTTAATACAAAGACGTGATTTATTTCAATTAAAATCAAAGAAAACGAAAATTTACAAAACTGAGGATGTTAACAAAAATGTACCTTAACCCTGAATTTCTTCAGATGTGTATTGCTGTTTTCACATACACATCATATTTCATGCAGTGGTAGGCCTACAACAAAATTAAAGAGTCACCTTGGCTTTTCCACTTCTCTTGAAATAAACCCACCTCCATGAACATAAGTGATATCAAACTAAAGACTCAAGTTGTCTTTTAAAAGACAGTGTACAATTTAGAATATACAAAGGCAGTGATAATACTTCCAAACGAGAGATACGGTTTCTATACAGGATTTATAATACACGGATAACAGGGTTAACAGCCTGTCATCAGCTGAGACCTGTTCCTCAGCAAAGCATGTACACTTAGAAGCCTCATAATTATGTGAGAAATTGTAAGTTTCCGTCTCTTAGTATACATGTGCACATGTGGTTTAAAGCATCTAATCCCCTTGATCATATTTATTTGAATTAGAGAAAGATATTCCAGTAAAATGATTACTTTTTTGTATGCATCTGAATAACAATTTAACACCTCTGTGTGTGTGTGTCTCTCTCTCTCTAGCTCTCTCTGTCCCTCACTGGATCGTTATTGTCTGATCATCTCCTGTCAGCAGCGTCTGCGTCGGCATCAGCATCGGTGTCAGCATCGGCGTCAACATCGGCGTCAGCATCGGTGTCAGCATCGGCGTCAGCGTCGGCGTTCAGTTCTGCTACATCGGTTGCAGCATCGGCGTCAGCGTCGGCATCAGCATCGGCGTCAGCATCGGCGTCAGCATCGGCGTCAGCATCGGCGTCAGCGTCGGCGTTCAGTTCTGCTACATCTCCTCCGTCGCCATCGCCGTCACCGTCGCCATCGCCGTCACCGTCGCCATCGCCGTCACCGTCACCGTCGGCTAGAAGTGCGAACAAAGTTAAGTAGCGCTTAATTCTTGGCTTTACAAATACAAAATGTAGTATAGTCAGTCACAATGACAATCTACGAAATTGTAGTAACAAATGGGAAGCAAGAAAACGAAAGATAATCATGCAGAAACCACAATTGTCTTAAAACTTTAAGCATGGTTGCCTTTTGATTAAAAAAAAAGGGCGTAATTCCCGATTGCGTTATTACCTACAGTTGGCATATTCACACATTCGACAGTAAGTCAACGCAATGTTTACACGTTCATTATGTTATCATTTTTTCTGTAGTAGGGCTATTGATGACATTCCGTTTTAAATTGACCTAAATCAGTGATAATGAACCCGTATGGCAGGATCTTCTCACAGAGAAAACTTTCCTTATAAGTAACGATATGATTGTCTCATTGTCACAAATTGTTATCAATTGAGAAATTTCGCTAGGCCATTTTGAATAAAAAAAGATGAGTCCAACCAAATTTATCGACAGAGGTTTTAATATCTTACCAAAACAAAACAAAAGAGAGGTCATCAATGTTATTTTACGCTAATTTGCTGACAAGGCCCAAAAAATTAAAATGCGCCAACAAAAAAATTGAATGGAAATTCTTCTGATGTCCCTAACTCTTGAGTCTCTATTTTAAAAGAAGTGCAGGCCCGGAGAGCCCATGGTTGTCTATTCCCCTCACCCCCCCCTGTTTTGTCAGTCTTTGTCCTATGTATGTCAATGTACTGAATGTATTGAAATTTAATGTCTGATGAGATGATTATGACAGGTACTCACCGTATGCCGTCTGCATCCATGCTGTGCAGGCAAACATGCAGAGGAGGAGCAAGAGTGAGAACTTCATCTGCATAAAGAAAATGGTTATTAATTTTGTTAAATGGAGTCATTCCGAACGATCAAACATACGATTGAATGATTTCAACATTTTTTTCCAACACATGCTTTATTGACATTATATGTTTTTGAAAATGAAAAAGAAACATTTTCAGAGTAGTGTGGTGTTAGTGTACATGGTGGAGTACTATTCGATTTGTGTGTTCCTTGTAACGAAATGAATAAAATCAGGATTAAAATCTTTAACCAAAATAACAAATCAAGCCGAGCTGCAATTCTCTATATACCCGTCTGAACAGTATATTTGCTCTCGAATCTAATGCAAACATGCTTTACCCTAAAATGATAAGTTGGCTATCATCGAATGAATCACAGTTATCATGAAATGATACAGTAATCACTATAAACAAGAGAATTTTTACACCGGTTTTTCACTGCACTCACAATGAAGCAAATGAATAATCACACATAGGACAGAAAAAGCTTTAAAAATGGGTCTTTAATAATAGAGGAACAATAAAAGACCAAGATTTCGGTCAAAACAGCCGATCAAATTTGCTACTTTTCCGTCTGCAAATAAATCATCCGAAATCATTAAAAAAAATAAAGGAAATAATAAGTCAGTAAAATTCAAAGTTATTCATAGTATTCCTCTACCAAACCTCAGCCAATAATCTGCACATTCAATATTGTCTTCCAACAGTAAGGGTCGACTGACACAATCAATTTGTTGATTAAAAAGTGCTGATAATAAATCCGATATTCAACTTACTTTATCTTGTGGGAGAAGCTGGAAGATAGAATATTGACGAAGTACTAGAAACGAGAAATTAGTGATCAGGGCTGGGGAATCTTCCTCTATTTATGAGCAGCAGGTTGATGTGGGCGGGGCCATGTTTTTTATTTTTTATTATTGAGATACAACGTGACAGAAAACAACAGAGGTGAAAAAACACCGGAAACCAGATATGACTAGTCTACATGTCCTCAAGGACTGGTCAGAGTTCACAATCATGATCAAACACAACTCTTATTTATTTTCAGTCAAATTTACAAGTGCAAATTAAATTAATCATTGTGATGATAGTACATGTACCCCGATATAAGTTTTATTTTCTGAATTCAAAGGATAGCATGACAAGGGGATTTAGAGACGGGTACATAATACAGGGAGGAGGGCACAAGTCCTAAAAATTCTCTAACGACCAAAAAACAAAACAAACGTAAAATGTATTTTAAAGCTGACTCAAAACAAAAACGATGTAATTTTAAATATGGTACAATGAGGGATCATGTTCTAATTAAATCTCTCTCTCTCTCTCTCTCTCTCTCTCTCTCTCTCTCTCTCTCTTCTCGTCTTAATTTATGCCAAATTAGGTTTATCCGATGTGTAGTGCCCCCACCTTCTTCTTCCTCTTCCTCTTCTTCTCCTTCATCCTGTTCCTGTTCCTCCTCCTCCTCCCTTTCCTCCTCCTCTTCTTCTTGTTCTTCCTTTTCTTGTTCTTGTTCTTCGTCTTGTTGTTGTTGTTGTTTTTGTTGTTCTTCTTCTTCTCTTTCGTTCTTTTTCTTTTCCTTTTTTCCTTTTCTTCTTCTCCTTCTTCTTCTCTCTCATTCCTTTATTTACACCTTTAAGGAGGTGTACATGTCCCTTAAAAAACAAAGAACAGTCAGTAGATAAAAGAACAAACATTAAAAAAATAGTAGTTTTCTAGCCTTGACCAGACTGGCATTGAACTTTGAAGGAGAGCATCAATGTGACTCGATATCAATATCCTTGTACCGAGCTTGATAATAAAGTTTAAAGAAATGTATTGAATACATACAATAAAATCGGAGTTAAAAAACAAAAATTTGGCACCATTTTGCTTTTTAAAAGTTGTATATTTTGCTTATTTTGAAAAAACAGCAGTTAAGTTATTTTTGAACAAAACATGCCACAATTCGTAATGTGTTTCAGTGGGTAATATTCAGATCACTTGTATTCTTTTCTTCATTTTTGAAACAATTATTTGAGTTGTATGGTATGAAGTCTTATTGTTTAGTTTCTTTTTTGATTTTATACTATCTGTTTATTTATTTATTTGTATGTGACTTTTCTCGTTTTGTTTTTGATTTGTTTTATTGCTTGTCAGAGAAATCTGGAGCAGGACCTACATGTACAACAATTTGTCCCCTCCATGTTATAAGAGCAATAATATGTCCGCCCGTGGACCAAATGGTTTATGTATTTACAAGTTATGGGCTGAACTGATAACTAATCATTGTTACTTTGTTTTGTTTTTTGTATTTTTTTTGTTTGTTTTTGTTTTGTTTTTTGTTTTTTGTTTTTTGTTTTTTGTTTTTTGTTAAAAATTTTAGACTCGTCGTCGACGGTTACATTGTCAACAATATCTAGTAACTTCCTTTGCTATTCGAAAATCTGTTAATCAACTTAACCAATTTAAAGTGACCTTGTAATGTCAACCGCAAACAAAAATTACCATACATGGGACAGATGTGATGATCTCATTCAACTTTCGATGAGTTTTCGTGATGTGTCGAACCAAATTTTCACATGTTGTTTGATCAATACATGTCGATGTATGCACGACCCCAACAGCCGACATCATACGTTGCTATGGAGATGTACTTTCAGTTTTGTAACGGTCGATTACTGTTGACATCCATTTATTATGCAATTAACATATGGTTGGCACGATAGATCAATTTTGTTTCGCCTTATTAACGAATGTATGCCCTTTTCGGGAGCTGGGGTAACCGGGGAAGGGGGATGTGGGAGGCACCAAACTTACGATTTGGATGAGAATTGTTAGAGAACAAGGCCATCGAATAAGAAGATGGGGTGGTGTCGTATCATGTGTTTTTAAACAATGACCCCCTCCCTTTCTTCCCCACTAGTTTTCTCTCTTTCCTCTTTGCTTTCCTGTCGATTTTCATCTCTTTGCCTTTCTCCTTTTCCTCTTTGTCTCTCTTCCCTCCTCTCTTTCTCTGTCTATTTTTTCTCTCCCCTCCTTCATCTTGGTTTTGTGACTGACATTCTTAAATCTCCTTTTATGTTGTCTGTGTCTATTCGTGGACCTACTAGGAGGGTCCATGGCCACTCCACTCCCCTGTCCCCCTCCTCTATACCCCTCTCCCCCCCTCTCTCTCTCTCTCTCTCTCTCTCTTTACCGTCCCTCCCCTCCCCCTCTCTCTCTCCTCTCCCTCTGCTCTTCTCTGTCACTCACTCTATATAATTGTATATATCTCTCTCTATTTCTCTATCTCTCCCTTTTCTCTATATATCTGCCTCTCTATCTCTATCTCTCTCTCTCTCTCTCTCTTTTCTCTCTCTCTCTCTCTCTCTCTCTCTCTCTCTCTCTCTCTCTCGCTCTCTTCTGTTCACTCTCTCTCCCTTCTCCCTTACCTATTCCATGCCTGCTCTCCATTTGTCACTCTCCATCTCTGAATATTACCATTAATTGTGGTCACAACATTACTGTTGAAAACCTTTTTGGTTCACCACTAGCACACATTTTGTAGGTTATACTGACCACACGGCAGTAGCTTTCCACTTCAACATTTTAAAGGTTCTTTCTCCATACACACCAATCATACTAGTGCTTTTGTGAAAGAAGGTGCAGAACATCACAGAAAGGGAGAAAGGGAGGATGGGGGTCATGGTGCCTCGATCAACTCCCACTTTCACACTAAGGAAGAATTAAGAGAGAAAAGGGAAGAGGGAGAAATGATGGAAAGAGAGAGACACACACACACACGGACAGATAGACATCAGAGAGGCACTGAGAGACAGAGAGATAGAGATAAAGAGAGGGGGAGACAGACATACAAAGGGAGGGGAGATTATGTTTTAGATGATCTGACATTTGCTTCGTTTTTTTAAACGTAATTTCAGTTTCAATACGGAAAGAGTGAATGCAGTGTATTTCAATCATGGCGGTAGACTATATCTGCAATTATTTTAAACATGGGTACTCAATGTGTAACCATTGTTAAGTTCACAACAGAGTTCTACTCTCAATGGGAATGCAAAAGAGTTTTAAAAAACAGACAAACGAACAATCATGGATTAACTTAACATTTAGTTGATATATTTATTATTTTTCATTGAATCAAATGAATACAAACAAATTTCAATAATTTATGTTTATTGAAAACAAACAAACAAAAAAGCTAAAAAAAACGTTGCTACTGTGGCATTTAATGATCCAAATTAATGTCTTCCTAAAAACAGCTTTTATTTTTATTTTAGGGGAACATTGGCCTACATAGAATGTAGTGAGCAGGCGAAATGTCTCCCTTTAACAAAACTTGTAATTGAAGGTACATCATGCATTTCAGCTGTTATCGTGGAACTTAATTTTTCTTTAACGTTTTGATATATCATTTCGTCATAGAAATGTATCAGGCAAAACAATACATGAAAGTTTAATGGGGATAACAACAATATAAGCATCTCGCTGACCGAATATGATAATTATCACAGTTGCCTGAAAAACTACAAGATTAATACAGGACGTTGTTTAGTCGTTGCCCGGGGTGTTGGTGGGTTATTATTCTATTGATGTCCTATACTGTTGTTGCAGCAACCGTTGTAACAGCAGCCGTTGTTGCAGCTGCAGTGGTAGTCTCGGCGGATTCACTCTCTTCACTTGAATCCTAATCAATGACAACCGTAAACAAGATATCATCTTTACTTCATCTAAATTAATTTCGTGTATTAAATAGATGAATGAATAAATGATTAAATAAATTATAAACAAAGAAATCGATCTATCGATAAATGAATGAATAAAAAATGAATAAATAGATAAACTAGTAAAAGCATTAATGAATAAATAAACATGCATTTCCCAGTTTATCGTTATCATAATACGCGAATGCATAGGTCAATAAGCCTGCATTGATTAGTTAGTATATTGTGAGATGGTTTTACATGTATGCGATTACATGACATTTATTTCAAAAGCTGTTATTCTAAAATGATGTAACCACGAGACCGACATTGTAAGGTGTTGGGGTCTAGTGGATAAGACTCTGGACTGTGAACCATGCACATGGTACGGGGTTTGAATCCCGCCGCGGCAAGACATTCATCTACATTTGCCACACTCGACCCAGTATTAGTCAATTTAACGGTGCTCCCGGTAAATTTTGATAAAATTCAAATAGCGCCTACGGCCGTACAATGGTAGCTAATTGGTCGATTTTAGTCAATAAACATTTTTTTATAAGCTTAATTAATATCTTGACCTATACAACATAAAGAGTGTATTATTTACAATTTAATAACTTTAGACTCGATTTCAACCGCGACAACGATCACTGAATATTGTAGGATCGCATAATATGCTTCCAATATGTTCATTTGAACCAAATTCATGACCCCATACCAAAACGTTTTATTACCTTTAAGCCGGGATAATAATAATAACAGTACAAAGTTATTTGGAAACGCATAGAGACATTACATCATAATGGCATTTTTGTATTTAATATTAATCCAGGCCCGTTATTATAGGCTGTAGCGGTGTCAACAATATGAAATATTAATTTGAATATTTGTTTCCTTCGCAATATGCATTTATGAAATATTTGTCCCCTTCTCTAACCCCTTTAAACTTAAATTAAAGGTGCTGGACGAAATCAAAGAATATCAGCTTACCGAGTCATTAGTCGTCGAAGTCGTAGTTTCGTCACTCGTACTTTCGTCACTCGTACTTTCGTCACTCGTACTCTCCTGTTAAAATGAAACAATCAAGAAACATGGTCATTTCGGTTACGTCTTTAGATGTTAGATTACAGAAGTTTTTTTTCAAATATCGGAGTAGAGACATTTTAGTTCAAAAGGTATAACAAATTATAACCAAAACATATTCTATAATAATTGTAGTTGCAAATCGTGTTACTCATAATGAATTTTGATTAACTTTGAATCATTTAAGCTAGCGTTCGCTTTTATTTAAAAACAAAACATAAAGTAATTATTATCAACTGAGAAGAAAAAAAATAAGTAAAAATATTGTATAATGTGTTCGGGGGTATAGACGCGGCTGACAATCCACGCTCCAACCACCCCCCCCCCCCCCCCCCCCCCACCACCACCACCACGACCCACCCTCTCCATCCACGGTCAAGCAACGTTAAGCAGTGCTTCAGTTTAAATATCTTACATAATTATCTTGAAATCATTTCAAATTGCGTTTTCACACTAATTTTACTGCATCAATTAAGGCACCTAATATATAAACATAACCACCTACGGATTTAGAGCGGATGGCATACCATTTTCTCTTTGTCACAAAATTCTGTTGTAAAAAGGCCCCGAAAAAAATGATGACCTTTGTTGTGCTTGTCAGCAAATGTTAGGGATACTGTGCGCACTCTTTACCAAATCCTTGATCCGTCCCAGCACATGAAAACCCTCTCTGTAATTTTTTAAAAAATTCGATCTATATGAGGTGCACGCTCAAGGCACAATATAATGTCTGATAAACTGCAAACAAATGAAGATTTCTGTAGTCATAGTAATAAGTTTAAAATCATCACTACAATTTTTCTGAGAACTTACCACGCTTGTAGATGTCTGCCTCTTTGCTCTATCTAGAGCCTCCCCTCCTTCACCTCGGACTACAGCTCGACCTGAGAAATATCAAAGAAAAACATAACATTTTGGGAACTATTTTATACAAATCATGACGCAAAAAATCGGTCTTTAATGGAAATCAAAATAAAAAGAAAGAATTTGTATCATGTTTTAAAATTACATTTGTCATTTTGCTGGCAGATTTAAAAATGATTATCGAAATTAATGTAACTTACAACCTTTTGAAAAGTTAAAGGTAAAGACCAGTATTGGAAACGCCCCAATTTCAAAAAATGAAATGGAAGCTCTCATTACCAATCATGTGAAAGAATATGTTTTGACTAATACATGATGATAAAAAATTTGCCGGGAAACCGCCTACTAATTCATATATTTGGTAAATTTGTTTCTCTCATGGTTTGTGAGAGATATAGGGTAGTCCCATATACATCTTTCTGTGTATAGTGCTTGTAACTTTACGAAGAATGGGCCAAATTTCTTATCATTTTGATGATTCCAGAACCTTGCAGATGCTAGATGCTAGATGATCAACCTTTTCTGATCGATTCCACAACGTTTCTTTCACAATGCAATCGCTTGACCATAACTGGTCTTTACCTTTAAATGTTAAATGCATACAATTATAAAGAAAGTAAAAAACGGAACAATAGAATTTGAAATATGGTCTTGTTTATGTCATTGTACTTTACGGGTATCTTGCATAACAAAGAAAAACAAAAGAAGCAAACATTTTTTTGGATACATAAAAAAAAAAACTTTAAAATTTCCGGAAATGAATTTAAGGCATATTTAGATTGATTCATGTCAAAATTAACACAAAAGAAGCAAACATAATTATTTTTGATACATCAAAAGGCATTAAAATTGCCAAAAAAAGGAATTTTATGCAGGTTTAGATTGATTTATGTCAAAATTAACAACAATTTACTTGTAAATATGGTTTGATTAACAATGTACCTGTAAGATATTTTTTTTATCAATTCCTATGTAAAGCTTTACTGTAAAGTTAAGAATGATATGCTGTAAAATCATGTTATTCATTAAACGATTCAATCTCATATTATTAGGCACATTTCAATAATCTTTAGAATACACGCAAAAATGAAATTTCACTGTATCATCTTTATCATCATTATAATTACAATTTTTTTGAGAAATATGCATGTATATATTCATTATTCCTAACGGAGTAATTGCCAATAAAATAATGTCTTAGATCTCTCTTCAGCAACCCATACTATATACAAATTTTATCATTGATTTTTAATTAGTTGTTTTACCAAAACAAAAATATGTAAACTGGAAAATTATTATGAGGGCAAAGTTAGTATAGAACAAACATATTACGAGCACTGCATCTAAAATCCATTTTGCTGCTGGTGCATGTGTCCTCTTCGTTCTTAACTTTGATCGAGATGGCATGATGCTGAAGGTTGTTTTCTGACTTCATTTAAAAAAAATGTTCTTTCTCTTTAAGTACTCAACCCCACTCCCTTTTATTTCAGGATAAAAATTATGTTATATTTATTATATTTACTGGAAAACAAATGAAAGAATTTGCCCAAATACTTCGCGTTCGAATGACCAATTTGCCAATTTGACATTCATACAGATACAGATATAGTGATCTTATCTTCTAAACATTCAAATTTGCGCTAGTTTCTTTGACTTTTTTAAAATTAATTTCATACAGCTTATAGGGTGTTGTTATAAAAGGTTGAATTTCCTTTAACTTGGATCTGCATTATGCTTGCTTAAGTTAAGAAAACACGGTGTGCATGGGACATATCCATAGCATATACATTTATGCACGTTGGACTAGAGGCGTCATTTCGCGGACTGCGTTATTATCTGCGCTAATAAAGCTTGCGTCGGCATTTGGCCCATACTCTGTTAATTTAACTCACTAATTGCACCGTTCATTCTACAAACGCTCTACTCTCTCTCTCTCTCTCTCTCTCTCTCTCTCTCTCTCTCATGGAGCGTCAAAGATAGTGTAGGTCACTGACGCAGTCATACGTCAGGCAAATGACGCCTCGTGTGCAATAAGCATAGGATTAGTATTTTAGTTATAGACTTACCTTGTGTTGATGTGGCCATGAGGAGGCAGACTGCAGCAAGAAAAGCAATGAGTGATGCGGTCTTCATCTGGGATTTAAAAAAATGTATACATTTTAATTATAGTGTCATCTGTGGAGAGCAGAAAATCATTAACTCTATTTAACAAAAAATGTATAAGTTAAAGTCCTTCTGACTGCAAGAAAACTATCATTTTCATTCACCCGTCTCTGAAATGATGTCAGAGATTTCAATTTTAATTATTGAGACATTATTGCTTGAATAGGTCATTTTTACAAATTACACAAACTATGCTGATTTTATGCAATTTTGTAACAAATTACTACAGTTATGATCGCCTTGCATACATACCGTTATAAATTGTTCTACGTCATGAAACGTATGTTGGAATGTGGGATGGATTATAAAAAAACCCACTCGAAAATATGCCTATCAAATATTTTAGGTATCTATTTTTGAAAACCCTTGTCGGCAAACAGAAAATGTTGCTTCTCTGACAATTAATTTGTTTTAAAATTGTTTGACAGCTCCCCCCCCCCCCCATGATCACCTTAACAAACCTCTTGAATAGAGACGTCCCTGTCCATCATCATGATTTGCTTACCTTGTTGCCCCCTTAGTGTACCACTTAAAGGGATCGTTTAACAATGTTAAATGTGAGATACACGGTCCTACATGTTACCAGTGTCTGTGATATGGTGTAATATTGAAGCCCTAAAAAAATCGCGCTTCAAAATGATCAAGAAGTGCCTCAAAAAAGTAAAAATATTTGAGTGACCGGTTTTACCATACTCGTTTTCCCCAATAGACTGTAGTGTTATGAAAACCGTTCAGCGAACGGTTTTCAAAATTTGTAATTCCAATCATTAATATCTTGATAATCAGACAGGCGATCGGCTTGTAAAAGTCAAGGAGTTCCTGAATAACCTAAAGGTTTATAATTATCATTGCAGCATGAGCTAAATCAAGGATTATTTCTAAGACATTAGATTAGATTAGATCTAAGACAAAGTTACCGGATCCCTTTAAGAAAACAATTCACAAGAAATGCAAAAGAAAATACGTCATCGTGATTATCAGAAATAAATGGATAACACAGAATATCAGCACTTACCTTGATGTTGTAATGTACTACTGTTCCTCTGGAGAATACTGGTTTAATAATAATGTATCTCTTAGTTGATTACTCCAATCAAGTTATGATTTTTAATTGAGAATTCTCTCCCGTTTATATAGTTTTCGACATTCTTGCAAAATCATGATCGACTACAACAGAGTATACAAAATGGAAAACCAAATAATCTCTTTGGAAGTTTCTACTTTACTCCATAATCGTATTATTATTGCTTGTATTGGATGATTTCAATAACAATGCAATAATCTTTTTTATTCAGCAGTTCAGTTTAGTGCATTATTACGCCAAAACCACTGGAAAGATTATTGGAAAAAATAAACAGCACGATTAGACATAGAAACAGATGCGATAACAGCTGAAATAGTGGATTTTCTTTAAGTCGATTTTGTATTTCGATCCAACATTTCCTAAAACCTTTAAAAATAATCTTTCTTTCTCCTGATTTGGCTTTCGTCCTACCACCACACTCATCTTTTAACGAACCACCACTCATCACCAACCCCACCAACTACTTTCTAGACTTTGTGCCCCCCCCCCCTCCCCACCCGCGTAGCGCATAGAGATCCAGTATTGTAGAGGGGACGAGGGAAGAGAAATAATGTGATACAAAGATAGAATAGAGGCGTGGAGAAGGAGAAAGAGAGAGAGAGAGAGAGAGAGAGAAAGAGAGAGAAAAGAGAGAGAGAAAGAGAGAGGGAGAGGGGGGAAAGAAACAAAATACGGAGAAAGAGTGAGGGACGGAGAGAGTGTGTGAAAGATTAAACAGAAATCGAAAAATACAGGGGGAACAAAGGACAGATAAAAGAGGGAAAGAGAGAGAGACAAACAGAGAGGGAAAAGTGCGATAGAAAGGAAATATTACTTGTTATTATGTCATCTCGTATAATTGACATGGAAACAAAGAATACAGTTAAGAAAATTATAAAAAGCAAAACAAACACAGCAATATGCATCTAGAACTTTATTAATTTACCATTGGGAATGGGAGGGATCCCATAGAACACACTCGCGCGTATGTAAAGAAGAACCTTCAAGTTCATACTCATTGTACCTCTTGTATAATTATGTTTGCGGTTGAACGCAACTCCATGACGTAACTTGGCTTTCCACCAATCAGAGTCATCTACTTAGGACTTGGGTCGTGTGCAAGGGTTTTAAGGCCATAGATGAATATCACTGAGGCAGATCATTCAGGGGGATGAGTAGATGGTTTTGAAAGAAGAGTATAGATTGTGTGGTGTGTGTGCGCGCGTTAGCGAGTGAAAAGAGAGATAATTATATAGAAAGAAGGAGAAAGTGAATGTGAGAGAGACAGAGAGAGAAAGACACAGAGAGACACAGAGAGAGGTAGAGACAGACGGACATATAGAGACAGAGAGAGACAGAGAGAGACAGAGAGAGACAAAGAGAGAGAGAGGGAGAGAGAGAGAGAGAGACAGAGACAGAGCAGAAAAGTAGGAGGAGGAGGGGGAGGAAAACAAATCTATAAAAAAGCTAACAAATATTAATTTTGTGTGACCCTTCTTCCCCTCTCTCTTCTCACCTTTATTTGTTTCTTCTTCTGTTTTCTTCCATACGTCAAATTACTCCTTTGCTCTTTCCCTCATCCTATCAGAAAAAATCGGACACCCTCCCTATGAAAAAAAAAAAGATTTCCCTAAAAGTGCAGATGATACGGGATATGTACAGGGATTTAGGAAACGGATGTTACTAGTTTATCCAATAAACGTGGATTGTGCAGTCAGCTGTTGATCAAGTACCATGCCAGACGATGGAATCATGTATACATCACATCGTTTGATCAATAATATTCAGCGAAATTATCAAAGAGATTGTTTTTACAAAGACAGTCATAACATTTTGGTTCGTATATATCTAGAACATTTGCGACATGACTCGAGTTAATTCATTATTTTTATTTTTATTTTATTGAAATATATTTATTCAGGATAACAAGAATCAGATATACTTTGTAGATACAAAATCTGCTTTACATCATGGTCCTGAACAGGATAAAAATGTAGTACACGGAAATATAAATAAAGAATATCACCAAAGCTCAAAAGCAAAGGTAAGAACAGTATAAAACTAACATATAAACATAATACGCATTAAAAGTAGTAAAAAGCACTAAACAAAAAGCAAAAACGACAATGTAATAATTAAAATTAACAGCGGAAAAAACATCAAATCACTTTAATAAAAAGGCATTAAAATATCTCCATAAAAAATTGGAAGAGGAGAAAATATATAAGGAAATTGGTAGAAAGTAAAGGAGGAAAGAGACAAAGAAAGAAAGAGGGGAGAGAGAAATGGAGAGAGAGAGAGAAATAAGCCATGTCAAGAGCAGTAAATGAATCGGCAATGTATCACACAGGTTTAAAACATTTGTCATTGTACAAAACGTTATATTGTTTATAATGTAAATTGACGACAATAACTGTTACAGTTACGAAATGGATAAAATAAAATAGGAGAGCTACGACTATAATTATCAGGGACTGAATAAGTTTTTTGTTTTGGGTAAACATTTGATCGTTTGAGCACTAAATTTGGATTCCAAAAAATTATGTAACAGTTATTACTTCATTCATGATTACCTAAACAACAAAAAATCTACACAAGAACAAAAAAATGCCGGATTTAATAGCAAATTTAACCCACGGCCCACGTACCCCACTAAGGCGCGTACGCAGGGGGGGGGGGGGGGGGGGGGGGGGTGTTTGGGGGTTAAACATTCCAATCAATTTTTTTGTTTCTCATGGGGGGTGTGGTGAATTAAAAAAACAATAATACAAAATTAATGCTTCTTAAACCCCCCTCTCCCCCACTGAGCGAAATATCGGCCTACGCGATTTTCCCATTTCCGGGGGCAAAAAAAAATTGTTACCCCCCCCCCCCCTCCCCCCTCCCCCAGCCCACCCCACTGAGCGAAATTCCGGTCGGCGCGATTTTCAATTTTTTTAAAACCCTCCTTGCTTGAAAAATTCCTGCGTACGCCACTGACCTCACCCAACCCCATTCTAAAGGCCCATGAAATCTATACAAACAACATGGGAGACTACCAAGACATTACGGCCCCATCAGGTGATGACTCCGATCTCATCTGGGAGGGGGAAGCGATTCAGCCGGGGGGGGGGGGGGGGTAACTAGAAAAATTGACCGATCGATATTTTGTATCGTTGGGGGGGGGGGGGGTAAGGGCAGCTTTTTGGGGGTCACCCATTACCACAATTTGTTTTTATTTTTTTTATTTTTTTATTTTTTTATTAAAAAACAAAACAAAGGGAGGGGGGTTCATTAAAAACACACACATAAAAAAGTTAAAGGGGGAGCTCAACCCCCATAACCCCCCCCCCCCCCCCCCCCCCCTGCGTACGCGCCTGGATCCACCTCCACACCCCTCACACCCCTCCGCCTGTAAAGTTATACCTGGGTAGCCTACGCCTAAATGTTGATTAGAGAACATGGGTGTGATTGATCAAACTTCACCTCCTGACCCCCTGACTGAACAGAACACAACCAATCGTGAAACCACGGTCACACATTGCCAAGATTCGAGATTCGAGATTCAAACTTTGTTTATACGTCTTGAACCACAAAAAAGATAAATGTGGTTTCCATTAGCCTTAGGCCTACTTATAGTAAAAGGTAGACCCCCCCCCCCCCTCCCATCGGAATATATCAAGTACATTATGAATAGATGAAAGTGTTTTTGTGTGAAAATAAGAACTGTATATAAAAACACTTTTATGAAAGATAAAATACTTCACTGTTGATGAACTGTTGAAAGACGAAAAAAGGTTCAGTCTTCTGTATTTCTTTCTATTTAAATGCGTTTCGTATGAACGCACTTAATAGGGGGTGTATCCTTCACCTTGATCATAGAAAAACCGTTGAACTGCATGTATTACATATTTGAATAAAGGTATTTCGGGGGGTGCGTGATACTAGGTCTTAAACCATTACAAAAAAGGCTTTCTAATTGCATGGTTTTGGCAATGCTTCCGGCTCTTGGTTAAGCATCTGCTTTTATGAAGCTTGAACTATCATGAACATAGTCAACCCGCAAGGAACCTTGGGAAAAAGAACAACAAAACAATTAGAAAACATCGGATGACAAAGCGTGTGCACACCCATTGAAAGTAGAATGAACTCTCGGTGTCATAACCTACAAACATTTAAACTTAAAATTGTATTTCAGTCTTTTTAGAGAGAGAGGGAGGGAGGGAGGGAGGGAGGGAGAGAGAGAGAGAGAGAGAGAGAGAGAGAGAGAGAGAGAGAGAGAGAGAGAGAGAGAGGGGTTGTATGATTCAATATATCTATCTGCTTATTATTACTGCATCCCACCAGTAGCTGGTGCGTCAGGTTTTTACTTTGTTTTATCTACATAACCTCCACTCTTACCCTCCCCCCCCCCCCCCCCCCCCCCCCCCTCCTCTCGAATCCCCCTACTTTCTGACCAATATGAGTGTATTTTATCTTGTCTGAGATTCTCCGTGTGTCAGTCTTTTTGTACACATTTCTCTGTATGTCTCTGTTTGACCGTATGTATCGTCAAGTGTGTGTGTGTGTGTGTGTGTGTGTGTGTCTCTCTCTCTCTCTCTCTCTTTCTCTCTCTCTTTCTCTCTCTCTTAACATGTGTAAAGCTGACCCATATTATAGTTTCAAATTTTTACATTGAGAGAGAGAAAGAAAGAGAGAAAAGGGGGAAAGGGTAAGGGGGAGGGGAGAAAAAAGGTGTGGGAAAAAAAGGGGGAGAGGGGGAGATTTCAAAATAGGGTTAAAAGGGTGGGTCCTTCCTCATATTTCGTTAGAAGCGTCATCTCTTAAAAGTATCTGTTCAAAGGCCAATAGCAAGTTGAGGGTTGTGTCGCTACTATCTGGCGGGTTGATTCTTGTTTCTTGAGACAGGTCCAATTATTTTCCTTGAAATATTTAAACAAATCAAGGCAGGGATTTAACAATAGAATAGAGAGAGGGAGAGAGAGAGAGAGAGAGAGAGAGAGATAGAGAGAATAGATATAGGTAAAATATCGATATTATTACGTAG